CATCTCTTTCCACAGATGTAGTCAATTTGAGTTTTCTGTATTCCATCTTGTGAGGTCCATGTGTATAGTAGTCTTTTATGTTGTTTAAAAAAGTATTATTGCTGGCAGACCATGTAGTCATTAAGCAGATAAATAACATCATGAAATAAGCACCATATTAACATGTAAATCAGAAGTTGTCAAACCTTTTCAACAAAAGACCAGAAAGTCAATGTTTTAGGCTTTCTGCGCCACATGGTTCTTCACAATTAACTACTCAATTGCACTACTGTAGTGGGAAAGCTACCAGATAGTACAAAACAAGAGCATGGCTGTGCACGTGGATACTAAAATTTGAAATCACATAAAATTTTCACCTGTTATAAAACATATTTCTTTCAACAAAACACTTTAAGAATATATGAGGTGACTCAATTTACTTGGCTGCGTGGAAGAGTCAAATGGAAAGCTTTATCACAGCTTATAGCAAATACTCAAGTTGGATCCTGCAGGGTGAGTCTGACTCTTCCCAGCCATGTGAGGTGGGAACAGACTTAACTGTTAAATATGCACAAAAAAGACTTACAGAGCTACTTACCTCATTTGCCTTATTTATGAGAGGCTTCCAAGGTCAGGATTATAGATTTCATAAGCAAAGAAAGCAATCCAAGAGATCTCAAATAACTGCACCAATATCCAAACTGAAAAGCAGATATTTATCTAGAGATTTTTAAATGTGGCAAATACATACATTTTGTCTATCTCCAGTTAGATGTGCAAACTCCACCATTTCATTTCCAAACTGACTGAATATCTGGACAAACTCTTGAAAACTATTCACTTTCTCCAGTCTTTCCATTGTTGAAAGAACCTACAAAAGAGAGGACAGTGTTTTATCAGCAGGATGATAGATCTAAAAGAGACTGCGATTTCAAGGCTGAACAACAATAGAAAAAAAGATGAAAGAAAATTCTAAATTCTAGAGGGAAACTTAGGGTCAGAAGACAGAGAAAGAGGAGATCTGACAAGAAGAAACAGACTCAAAGGTAGGATCATCTAGGGCAGGGGTGAGGAACCTTTTGTTGGACCAAAATGTGTAACATCACTTGTGGGCCATACAAAATTATCAACTTTATATAACAACTGGCCTGCTGTATATGGTCAAAACCCTATACAGGGTCGCTATGGGTCAGAATCGACTCGATGGCCCTTAACAACAACGTGATGCCTAAGGAGCTCTGGTAGCATAGTTGTTACGAATCGGGCTACGAACCGCAAGGTCAGCAGTTCGAAACTACCAGCTGTTCCGCAGGAGAAAGATGAGGCTTTCTGCTCCTGTAAAGATTTACAGCCTCGGAAACCCTGTACAGGGTCGCTATGAGTCGGAACCAACTCCACAGCACATAACAACAACAACAACAATGTGATGGCTAAGGAGCTCTGGTAGCGTAGTGGTTACGAATTGAGCTGCTAACCTTAAGGTCGGCAGTTCTAAACTACCAGCTGTTCCATGGGAGGAAGATGAGGCTTTCTGTTCCCATAAAAATTTGCAGCCTTGGAAACCTTGTGCAGGGTCACTATGAGTCGGAACCGACTCCATGGTACTTAACAACAACAGTGTGATGATTGGAACTGCAATTGCATTGGCAGGGCCAGACCAAGGCCCATGGGCCAGACCCACCACTGATCTGTGGAATGATTTGTTTTTTACAATGGAGAGATTCGGGCGGATTTGAAAAGAATGAGATAAAAGACTGAATATACAAGAAAAGAGTATAAGAGCATCTGGAGAAGGTTGAAGCAGCAAGTCTACAGAAATCAAATCCTCAGAGAACTAGGAAGGGAGCAGGATAAATGGCAATAAACAGAAGCCTTTCAGTTCCATAACAAGAAACTGAAGGAAGCTCATTTACCTCAGGAAAAGTGAGAGAAAGGCCAGCTGCAGGTTAAGGAGTTAAAAGGCAGGTTTTGTCCTTGAAGAGCAGGAAAACCATTAGGATCAGTCAGGAATTGTGTGGGATTAATAAATAAATTGCCAAGAAGCTGTGGACAGTCAAGTGTGACTAGAGAGCATGAATCTGTAGTAGAGCCAACAGATATTGCAATATGTTTTCTTAACTTAAGAAGAAAATGGATGGAACATATTTTCAAGTACCTTTCTCTAAAATAACAGTATTGGATTAGTTTTAATCAGACCAAGATAGGTAAAGAAAACACAGATATCCTGTGTTTGCTTCGTTTTAATGAGGATGTGATGTTTGGCATGTTAATCTGCCCTGGCAGTTCAGGAAGTCCAGGAACTAACACAGATAAGGCAGAATTAAAACCACACAGCAGAAGTGCTGGCTTTCAAAGAGGAGAAGGTTTTCTGTTCTTCTTATACCGCCCCATCCACCTCTTCCATTCTTTTTTCCTTCACACTTACACAATTTGATTGACTCCAACACTCATCAAGAGTCCCACTTATTTCTCTTCAAATCCTCCTGGGACAGCCCTTTCTCTGGCTGACAGCCCCCTCCTTGCACAGGGAAAGGAGTGACTGCACATGCCCAGGTCCCTGGGTGATCTAGGAACACCACTAGTATTGGAGAGACGAGAAGAGTTCTAGACTGAATCTAAATCCATTCCCTTAGTTTTGATATCATTCAGTGATATTTATCATATCTGCACAAAAACTGTGCAGCTTGTAGGTAACCGAGAATAAGGTTTCAGTGACTGAACTTTTTCTTAAGTTCATAAACTATGAACTCTCCAATTTGGAAAGAAAGGTACCAATAGATTCAGATGTTTTATCAGCTAAATGTCTACTATGTATATTGTCATACCGCAACTTTTCTTCCTGGAGTCTGTACATACGACAAGCTTTTACCAAGAAGCAACAACAGAGAATGATGACTTTATGAAAAGAAAGATTTTTTTGTATTCAAAAGTTTAGGTACAGTATGCACACAGTTTAGAAAACGCAGGTATAGAAGAAATGCCACTTTTAAATTATAGACACAGGTAGCATGCTATGAGTCAGAACCAACTCCATGACACATAACAACAACAGGTATAAACCATTACAATAGACAAGCATTGCCAAGTTACTGGTAATTAACCTGAAAAACACACTTCTGGACATCCGTGGAAGACATAGGTACAGAAATATCAGAAGGGCAAGTACCTTATTTCTTGATGTTATTATCTGCTTAATGACAACACGGTCTGCCAGCAACAGTACTTTTGTCACTGAAGAAAGAAGTAATCTTGCAGCCTTTGTAACTCCAGTTTTGTCTGTGAAAATTGTGATCTGGCCATCAGATGCTGGATGATTCAAGCTGGTTACATCTGTAAGTGCTGCGATTGTTTCTCCTGCCAAGAGAGTCCAGGGAACAAAGTTACGCTGAAAATAAAACACACTTACATTAAAATCCAAGAATCCCTGGAGGTGCTGGAGGATAAGCATTGGACTGCTAACCAAAAGGTCAGCAGTTCACACCCACCAGTTGCTCCACAGGAGAAAGATGAGGCATTCTGCTCCTGTGTATGGCTCTGTGCGTTAACGCGCTGCATTGCAAAGTTGGCTTGAACTGCAAGATCGGTTTTCAAGCTCACCAGTAGCTCCTTGGAAACCCTATATAGCGTCACTATGGGTGGATACGACTTGACAGCACTTAACAACAACAACAAACGCCTCAGAAACTCTACACAGAGTCGCTATGAGTCGGAATCAACTTGATGGCAGTGAGTATATTAAAATCCATACATACTATCCTTTAATCTTGAAGGTAAGTGTCATGAACTAAATGCCACTCCTCAAACTATGTGTCAATTTGGACAGACTATGATTCTCAATATTATGTAATTATCCTCCGTTTTGTATTATGACGCAATTATCCTATGAATTATGAATCCTAACAAGGCATGATTAATGGAAGTCCAGATGCAATCTACAGGATTAGGCTGAAACATAAGTCAATCTCTTTTGTGACATATAAGAAATTAAACAAGCCAGCAGCGATCAGAGGGACTTCAATATCACCAAGAAAGAAGAGCCAAGAACAGATCACATCCTTTGGATCCAGGGTTCCTGTGCAGGGATCCTCCTAACCCCAGGAAAAGATTGAGGCCAGGAAACATGGACTCACTTAAGGGACACCAAGCAACATTTCAACCAAATATTGAGACAATGGCCTTGCCCCACAGTCAGCAGAGAGAATACCCCTTCCCCCTTAAAGCTGACATCCTGAATTCAGATGTCTAGTCTCCTAAACTGTGAGAAAATAAACTCCGGTCTGTGAAAGTCATCCACTTGTGGTATTTCTGTTAAAGCTTACTGTATGAGGCTTTCTAATGACAAAATAAAAGCAGACTCTAAAGAACTATGACAAAGTTTTGTTGTTGTTGTTTTTTGTCTTCACCATTTTGAAAAACATAACTTGTGTTTCCAGTCATACGAGAAACGACACTCTATAAAACGTCCTTCTCTACAAATAGTAAGAAAACTCCCCAAAGTCCCCAACCAAAGAACCTATGAACCACAGCAGTAGGCCAAGTGCCAAGGCTTTGATTAGGACTTTTTGGGGGGGTTGGTGAGGGTGGGAGGGAAGGAGAGGCAGTGTTAATCTGTACAACCTGAGCCTTGTGCTTTTATGGATAATCAGGGAGAGAAGACAAGGCTATGGGCCCGAGAGGCTATATCTTCAGTGAAAAGAAGGTGTGAAAAAAATCCCTGTCCACAGACAAAAGGGGGCAATGAGGAAGTCTGTCAGTCAGTCAGCCCGGACTTTGGCTGGGGAAACAAAAAAATCCTCCCGCCTGAGGATTCAAACCACATTCAAACTGACTCTTATATACACTTGTGGTTTGAAGCTATACTTCTTAAAATGGTTAGAAGAAACCAATCTACCAACTGAATTCCTAACTCTCTAGAAAAACTCTCTTCATCACTATTTCTTTTGATTTCTATTACAGCAATTATCAACCAATAAAAAAGAAAACTACAAATGTTTGTTTTTAAACATGAAACCAGAGTATAACTTTTTCTAAACCTCCTTTCTGTTTAACTTGTTGTTGTTGTTGTCAGGTGCCATCGAGTCGGAACCGACTCATAGCGACCCCATGCACAGTAGAATGAAACAGTGTCCTATCCTGGGCCAACCTCACTACCGCTGTCACACTTGAGTCCATCAATGATGCCACCTGGCTGATCCATCTCGTTAGGGGTCTTCCTCTTTTTCTCCTACCTTCCGTCTTACCCAGCATGACATCCTTCTCCAGCGACTGTTTCCTCCGGACAGTATGTCCAAAGTATGAGAGACGAAGCTTAGCCATCCTGGCCTCTAAGGAGTACTCTGGCTGCACTTCTTCCAAAACAGATCTATTGGTTCTTTTGGCAGTCCATGGCACTTTCAGTATTCTCCTCCAACACCACAACTCAAAGGCATCAATTCTTCTACAATCTTCCTTATTCACTGTCCAGCTTTCACAAGCATATGAGGTTATTGAAAATACCATGGCTTGGGTCAGGCGCACCTTAGTCCTCAAGCTGACATCTTTGCTCTTCAAAGATGTCTTCAAAAAAGTTCCTGTGCAGCAGATTTGCCCAATGCAATACGTCGTTTGATTTCTTGACTGCTGCTTCCATGAGTGTTGATAGTTGATCCAAGAAGAATGAAGTCCTTGACAACGTCAATCTTTTCTCCGTTGATAAGAATGTTGTTTATTGGTCCAGTGGTGAGGATTTTTGTTTTTCTGACATTGAGATGCAATCCATACCAAAGGCTATGTTCTTTGATCTTCATCAGTAAATATTTCAAGTCTTCTTCACTTTCAGCAAGCAAGGTTGTATCATCTGCATATCGCAGGTTAAAAATAATCTTTTAATCCCCTTATAACATTCAAAATTATTTTTAAGCCGTAAATAAACCTGTGTGTGTAATAGATTGATTTTTCTCCAGTCAGTCCTCTTGTCATCTCTATTACATTCCCCCATACTGCACCAGCCCACAGGCTAAGGATCTTGTGCAAAAGTACTTGAATTTTAATAGACTACAGGGATGTAGCACATTAAGAGTCAAGATTTTAAAAGATTAATCTTGTGAAAGCAGATAAAATGGACTGAAAAAGAAAGCTGAAACCAGACTACTAATGTACTCCTGGTGTGGCGCTGTATGTCAAGCATAGGGCTTCTAACTACAAGGTCAGTGGTTCAAACACACTAGCTGCTCCTTGGAAACCCTACAAAAGGTCACTATGAGTCAAAACTGACTCCAATGCACTTAACAACAACAACCAGTTAGACAGTTATTGAAATGATGAGTGTCGGGTAGTCAGGACCTTATTACATGGTTGTCATCATTGAGTGCCATTAAAGAGTAGGACTGCCCCTCAGGGTTTCTCAGGCTGTAATCTTTCCAGCAGCAGATCACCAGATCTTTCCTCCTGTGGAGCTACTGGGTGAATATGAACCACTAACCTTTTGGGTAGCAGCTGAGCACTTAGCCACTGTGCCACCAGGATTCCCAGATAGATGGTAGGCATAAGGATACAAAGACACTGATGACTTGGGAAATACTGAGGAAGGAAAATATACAATTACCTGACCAGTGATGAGAAGGAAAGGAAGAGTAGAAAAGAAAAACATAGTAAAATAGCTTCAAGGCTGAAGTCACTTATCAGAAGGCTACTGAATACGGCTCTTCTAGTCTTAGTCTGCAGTGCTGGGATGGCATTGTGGGTTAACGCGCTGAACTGCAATGCCTCCTTGAACTGCAAGGTCGGCAGTTCAAGCTCACCAGCCACTCCTCAGGTGTCGCTATGGGTCAGAATCAACTCAACAGCACTTAACAACAAAAACAGCAGTCTTACTCTTAGGGAATGCGGTAGCTCCATACAATAAGCACTGGTCTGTGAACCACAGGGTACCAACTGCAAGGTCGGCAGTTCAAGCCCACCAGCTGCTTTGCAGGAAAAAGATGGTGCTTTCTGCTCCCTCAAATATTTAAAAGCCTTAGAAACCATCTAAAGGGTCACGATGAGTCAGAACCAACTGGAAAGCACTTAACAACAACAGCCTTAGTCTTTGTAACCCCCACCATCTGACGTTCTTCTGATGGTGAGAGAAGGTGGGAGAAGATGGTGATAGGATTGAGGGTTATGATTCAGTTGTCAATGACAGTTAATAGGGCCAGCTATGATTGCAAAAACTGGGAACTCTAACATGGGTGTAAGATGAGCCATCTCAGAAGCCGGGCAGGAAATCTCACTACCATCAAGGACGAAGAGCCAGGAATGAAGTCCATCGTTTGGGATCCCCAGATTTCTGTACACTGAACCTCATCAAACCAGGGAGAGAAAGCTGTGATGCCAAAAGAGTAGCAGAGAAGCAGCAGAGGAGCCAATGGCAGCAGAACCAAGGTTCAGAGTGCGACAGTGCTGTGAGCTTCCGAACCCACAGAGAACGTAAAGCTGAGTGCCTTTTTGGCAGAGGCTCTCTGGTTGAGCAGGATGCCCTAAGCACTTGATTAGGGAACTAGGTTTCCAGACCCATGAAGCTCTAGCCAATCACCTTCAGGCTGAGGCATTTATCAGCAGCACTAAAAGGGCTGTGTAACACTGCTGAAAGCAAGGCAGAGATAGGTCAAGGGGCCCATGGCTCAAAGGTCAAGGACCAGAGAGACACCTGCCTGAAGGCACGGCTGGGAAGAGGCTGTCCTGACAGAAAGAACTGGGCGGAGCATTCTGGTTCTCTTACCTGAGTAACCAGAGGAGGCAGTTTCCAAGAAAGGTAATAGCACTTCAAATGAGGAGCAGAGGTGACATGTGGAACTCATGACATCAGATGGCTTCCACCTCTGGAGCTGCCTAGCCTTACAGTACTCGTAAAGACCTGCAGTCTACCGGCGCCTTTGTCACTGAATCATGTCCTTTCCCTCACACTGAGAACAGTGACACATTAGAAAGGCAAGAAAGGGCTCAAGTTGCCCTTTTATAAAAAAAAAAAAAAAAAAACCTCTACTCTTAGTTTTCAACGAGGGTTGTTAGAAGAAATAGTAATATGAAGAGCATCTCCACTTCTGGTTGAATTATCCACTGCATTATGCAATGCCTGCTGTATAAACGCCCACACAATAACTTGAGGCTAGGAAAAAAGTCTCCCTCTCCTCTGGATAAGCTGGTTTGTTTCCTTCCAACAATGAGAATTATATAACTCTTTGTTGCTCACATTTTTGTCTTAGTTTCCAGGAAGATGAATTTCATGCTTAATTAGAGTAACAATGTTGGCTGAAAAATCTAGCCTGTTTACTTTCATCACTTATTTTAATGGTTTTAATGTACATGTTTCATTTATGGGAGGCAATTACAAATCTTTTAATTAGTCAAATTACAAATTACAAATGAAATAAGGACATCCTTCCCATCCCCCATAAAACCTACCTCCTAGTCCAGTGAATGACTAAAAGTCTAAGGATCAACCCAGAGTCCTTCCCCCCTTTCCTTTAATCAATAACCAAACTCTGGTGTGGTGCTGTAGGATAAGCACTGGACTATTAATATTAACCACAAGGTTGTCAGTTCAAACCAACCAACCACTCCTTGAAAACCCTATACAGGGCTACTGTGAGTCAGAATCAACTCATTCAATAGTACTTAACAACATCTACTAAGGCACATTCATGAGCATTCTGTGTGCTCTTCATATCCCTATTGACACTGCCTTGGTTTACCATGGCTTACTGTAAAAGCTTTCATATTAATCTTCTCACCTCTCGTTTCAATAATCTACCAACCAATCCTTACTTGGTCATTTCCTCCAGATACCAGAAAGATTTCTAATGCAAAACTAGATTCATCTGACTCAAAATTCCTCAATGATTCCCTATCACCCATAATATAATACCTTAAGTCATTTGCATATGGGATGTAGGATTGGGTTGGTTCCTCCCTCTTCACTCAACCTTAGCTCACTTGCTCCCTTTCTTCCCATTATGATCCTCCCCAAACACCTGCTCCTCCCTCAAAGGAACCCATCTTAGTAAATGGCACACCATTTACCTAGCTACTCACACTCCAGACCTTGGGAGTTACCCAAGACTCTTCTGTCATAGCCACATTCAAGATATCCAAATATCTTATCAGCTCAACCTTCACATTACATCCAAACACAAGCACTGCTCTGGTAGCGTAGTGGTTATGAATCAGGCTGTGAACTGCAAGGTCGGCAGTTCGAAACTACCAACTGTTCCACTGTTTCTGAGGCTTTCTGCTCCCGTATGGATTTACAGCCTCGGAAACCCTGTACAGGGTCACTATGAGTCGGAACCGATTCCATGGCACATAAGCACCACCACCAGTCTAAGTCATCATTATCAACCACCTGAACCACTGCAACAGCCTCCTAACTGGTCTCTCTGAAGCTACTCTCCTGCCCCTAAGCCTGTTCACCATACAGGAGCCAGCAAAGTTCCTATCATACCTGCTCCTGACAGTCTTGCCAGAGATGCCCCTCCCCCAGATATGCACATAGCTAGAGTTCCCATTTGATTGCAGCCTGTGCTCAAATGTTACTTTCTTAGAGGGTCTTCTTGACCCCCCTATCTTACAGTTGTCAAGTGGAAATGATTTTGACCACAAAAGACCAATGCCTGGAGACATTTTTAGTTGTCACATGGGGTGTCTTCTGGCATCTAGGAGGCAGAGGCCAGTAGTTGTTATTAGGTGTTGTCAAGTTGGTTCTGATTCATAGCAACCCAATGGAAAGCAGAACGAAACGCTGCCCAGTCCTGGGCCAGCCTCACAATCGTCGTTACATTTGAGCCCATTGCTGCTGCCACTGTGCCAGTTCAGCTCATTTGGGATCTTCCTGTTTTTCACTGACCCTCCACTTTACCAAACATGATGTCTTCTCCAGGGACTGGTACTTCCTGACAACATGTACAAACTCTGAGAGACGCGGTCTCACCATCCTGGCTTCTAAGGAGCACTGTGGAGGCAGAGGCCAAGCATGCTGCTAAACATTCTACAATATGCAAAGCAGCTTTCTACAGCAAATCATTATCCAGCCCACAAGGTCAACGGTGTCCAAGTTAAAAGGTATTGCCCTCTCAAAAACAGCATCGCCACTGCTCGCCTAAGCCTAATTTTGCTTGATTTGTTTTCTTCACGATATATACTACCACTTGACATTATACATTTATTTATTCATTTTTTAATAGTCTTTTGCCCTCACTGTAATACCAGCTCCATCAGGACAGACTTCTGACGGCTGTGCACAGGGTTATATCCCTACATCCTAGGAGACCGCCTGCCTATAACCAGCACTTAGTAAATATTCATGAAAGGAATAAATGGATATGTGATACATCAATAATGCTGAATTGTTTCTAGTCTTAAAAAGACCTTAGTTCTCTTAGGTATCGGTGTCCCCAGCTGTAGAGTCATGAACTGCCATGAAATTCCAAGTCATTATGATTTGTCTGTTGCAAAGTGAGTAATATGTAGTAAGGTTTATTCTGTTTCCCACATGGAGGCAAGTATACCCATCTTCTCCCCGAGGGCATTCTATGCCTCACACTTCCCTGTATCTCTCACACTGCAATGACTGATGGCGAGGACGGCAGACCATGACCTTCACCAGTGAAAGAATGCCATGTTTCAGACAGAGGACTTAAAAAGTCTTAAAAGAAATTCAGTTCCTTCTGGCTGCAGATCCAAGCCATTTCTGTCCCATTACTGCTGTCATGTGCCACGAAGCCTACGGCAAGTCCTAGAGACCCTGTGGGACAGAGCAGCACCAGTTGGCAGGGTTTCTGAGACGCTAACCTTTGAGGGCGCAAGGTGCCAGGTCTTTGTCCCCTTCCACAGCTGGTGGCTTGGAACCATCAACCTTTGGGTTAGCAGCCAAGCACCTGACCACTGCACCACCAGGACTGCTTTCCTGTCCGAGGCATCCGTGATTACAGGGCTAAAGAACATAGCTTTACTCAAACTAAAAACATAATTTGTCATTGTATCCGTAACAGTACAGTTGATATGAACAACCTTCTAATTCAATAGCCACCTACCTGCTTGCTTAGCTTCAATACAAGCAATACTTATTTCTTCTTTCAAATCCCAGTTTTCATTGGCTATAGCTTCCCCAACTTTAACAAATCTTCCAACTGCCAAGTTGACAGCTTGTCCTACGCGCTGAATTGCTTGTAGAGTTTTATCAGACTTTTTGGTATTATCTTTATGATTAATAAGTGTGGTGATCTAAAAATAAAAAACAAAAGCAGCTTGATTAAATTTTATCCAATATCTTTTGAGAAAAGCTGGGTCACAAAACCCAAGAAAATTCAGTGTGATCTTCTGAGTTAGCCTAATAGACTAAATCAATGGTCAACCCAAAGACAACTAGCAAAGTTTCTAGGATCTCTCCTTATGATAATTTCTCCATTAATCAAAGTTTCTAATTCACCTGAGAGCAATGATCTGTGGCAATTCAATTCCAAAAGTCAACAAATCTTAAAGATAGGAGAAAGGTAAAAAGAGATGGCAGATCATTACATTCACAGAACCAACAGAAAACCACAGAACATCATGTCAAGCTTTCTCTCCTAAGACTATGTGCTGCTCTTTGACTACAGATAGCACCTTCTTCACCTGGGCATTCCCCTGCACTGCCCAGCATAATGCCTCAGCTGGACGGTGTAGTATGTGGGTCAAACATGTCTACTGATTTTAACTAGACACTTTAGAATGGCAATTGTAATCCAAGTTTTACACTTCTCCAAACTTTGCAGCACCAGATTCAAAGCAAATGAAATACCAAGAATTTTAACATCAGCAACAAGTCAGAAACCCTACACAGGGTCTCTTGAGTCAGAATTGATTCTAGGACATTAACAACCAGTCCCACCATTTTATATGGTAGAGTACTGATAGTTTTGAATCAAAAGGTTGATTTCAAGCTACCACCTTAGAAGAAACTGAAGACTGAAAAGAAGCTTGTGCTGATTAAATCTTTTATTTACATAAAGTTAAAATTTTTTCAATTACAAAGAAGGGTTCTGCAATTAGGCTAATATATCACCTATTGTTCAGTTCTGGAACACATATTTTGCTTGCACTGTAAGCATCCTCCCCAGTGCATAATTAGGTGTGGTTATCTTCCTCTTATTTGAAACAGTCTGAAAAACACTCAATCCAAATACAGGAATGCCTTAAAATTGATATTTGGCGGAGCTAAATTAATTCATCAACACTACCAGAACTCAAAACTCATGGAGTCCTAGTGTGGCTCTGTGGGTTAATGTGCCAGACTGCAAAACCATTTGAACTGCAAGACTGGCCGTTCAGGCTCACCAGCTGCTCCTCAGAAACCCTATACAGGGTCACTATGGGTTGGAACCAACTCGATGGCACTTCACAAATAACAACAACAAACCCAGAACTCAATCTAGATAAATAAATATTTAAAGTAAAACAAATCTACAAGACTGAAGATAGGGAACCAAAGACATCAATTTATAATGAAGTCAACTACAAAGCAAAAAGAAAGAATAGTGTAGATACAGAACCTCCAAATGGCAAGCAAGTCAATAGATTTCCAGATAAAACAGATTATTTTAAGTAGGGAAAAAATAATAAATTGCAGGGCAACCTCAAAGAAAATTAATACACTTGTACATTAAAATTAAAATAGGAAAATCAGAAAGATTTAGTAAACATTAACACAAAAGAGGAGTCCTGGTGTGGCACTGTGGGTTAATGCGCTAGACTGCAAGGCGGGTTTGAACCTCAAGGTTGGTGGTTCAAGCTCACCTGCCACGCTCCTCAGAAACCCTACACAGGGTCACTAAGAGTTGGAATGGATTCGATGGCACACAACACCAACAATACAACAGAAATGAAAAGAAAATACACAAACAAAATGTACTCAGCAGCACTAGTTGCAAAATTGATGATCTGCTTTGTAAAACCTTCGCTCAATTCATAAAATGCTTTAAAAAAAATACTTAAAAAGAACAGATTTGATGCAGTGGACACTTATGACTGAAAACTAGAAGAGTTATGAGATAATATCAAGAACGCCATACAAGAAAGCAAAAGGTCATTAAAAAAGACAAGAAAGAAGGAAAAGACCAAAATGGATGTCAGAAATGACTCTGAAACGTGCTCTTGAACATTGCTGCTGTTAAGTACCATTGAGTCGGATCTGACCCATAGCTACCCTGAATAGGATTTCTCAGGAGCGGCTGGTGAGCTTGAACTGCCGACCTTGTGGTTCAAACCCACTTAGCAGTCTAGCACAGGAGTCCGCTTTTGAACACAGAGAAGCTAAAGCAACTGGAAACAATTATCAAGTAAGAGAGCTGAACAGAAAATTTCTAACAGAACAAGAAGACAAAGTAAAGTATTATACTGAAATGTGCAAAGGCCTGGAATTAGAAAACCAAAAGAGAAGAATATGTTCTGCATTTCTCAAGCTAAAAGAACTGAGAGAAAAAAACTGAGCCTTTGGTTGCAATATTGAAGGATTCTATAAGCAAAATATTCAAAGATGCAGGAAGCATCAAACAAAGAGAGAAGGACTACACCGGGTCACTGTACCAAAGACAACTGGTCAAATAGAGTCACTATACCAAAAAGAATTGGTCAATATTCAACCATTTTCAGAGGTATCCTAAGATCAAGAACTGATGGCTCTGAAAGACATCTGAGCTTCACTAAAAACACTGGTGAAAAACAAGGCTGTAGAAATTGACAGAATACCAACTGAAATGTTTCAACAAACTGATGCAGCACTGGAGGCATTCATTTGTCTATGCCAAGAATTGGCCAACCAATTGGAAGAGATCCATATTTGTGCCCCTTCCTAAGACAGGAGACCCAGTGGGATGTGGAAATTTGTCCAACAATATCATTAGTATCACAGAGTCCTGGTGTGTGGCACTTCAGGATAAGTATTGGACCACAAGGTCAGTTTCAACTGTAAAGTCAGTGGTTCAAACTCACCAGCTACTCCTTGGAAATGCTATACAGCATTGTTATGAGTCAGAACTGACTCAATGGCACTAAACAACACAACATCATTATCAATATCATGTGCAAGTACAATTTTGCTGAAAATAATTTAAAAACGGTTGCAGCAGTACATTGAAAGGGAGCTGTCAAAAAGTCAAGCTGGATTCAGAAGAGGACGTGGAATGAGGGTTATCATTGCTGACATCAGATGGAGCTTGGCTGAACACAAAGAATGCCTGAAAGACGTTTACATGTAATTTTCTATCTATGCAAAGGCATTAAACTGTATGAATCATAACAAACGATGGATAACAGTGTGAAAAATGGTTATTCCAGAACACTTAATTTTGCTCATAAGGAACCTGTACATTGACTAAGAGGCAATCATCTGATCAGAACAAGAGAATACTGAAAGGTTTAAAATCAAGAAAGGTGTGTGTCAGGGTTGTATCTTTTCACCATGTGTATTCAATCTGTATGCAGAGCAAATAATCTGTGAAACTAGATATATGAAAAATTAAGTGGCATCAGGATTGGAGGAAAACTCATTAACAACCTGTGATATGCAGGTGACACAATTTTGCTTCCTAGAAGCAGAGGATTTGAAGTACTTACTGATGAAGAGAAAACATTACAGCCTTCATTATGGATTATATCTCAATGTAAAGAAAACAAAATTCATCATAACTAGACTAAAAATGACATGATGATAAATGGAGAAAAGACTCAAGTTGTCAGACTTCATTTTGCTTGGATCCACAATCGACACTCATTGAAATAGCAGTCAAGAAATCAAAAGGCATTTTGAATTAAGCAAATCTGCTACAAAAGAACCCTTTAAAATGTTAAAGAGCAAAGATACCACTTTGAGGACTAAGGTGTGCCTGACCCAAGCCATGGTATTTTCAATTGTCTTATATGCATGTAAAAGCTGGAAAATGGATACAGAAAACTGGAGAATAATAAATGCACGTGAATTATGGTGTTGATGAAGAAAAGTCAAAGTACCATATTGAAAGCTTGCCAGAACAAACAAATCTGTCTTAGAAGCAGCACAGACAGACTGTTTCTTAGAAGCGAGGATAATCAGACTTGGTCTCTTGTACTTCATACATGTTGTCAGGAAGATCAGTCTTTGGAGGGCATCATGCTTGATAAAGTAGAGGGTCAGCAAAAAGAGGAAGACCCTCAATGCGATAGAACGACACAGTGGCAACAACATATCAATAGTGGTACAGGACCAAGCAGAGTTTCATTCTGATGTACATAAGGTCACTGAGTCAGAACTCAGTCGTGGTGGTGGTGGTGGTTGGTGATGTGCTGTGGAGTCGGTTCTGACTCATAGTAATACTACATATGGTTTCCAAGCCTGTAAACCTTTATGGGAGCAGAAAGCCTCATTTTGTACTCAACAACACTTGATTCTTTACATATCCTTGTGGACATTTTTAGAAATCTATGTTTCATGTAATGCAGGCATTGTTTAATATTGCAGCATACGTAGAAAATTAGATGTAGGAATATATGAGTTTTTACAGCTAAACTTTTAGTTCCCTAAGCACTCACTGAAACTGTAGAAATCATTTTAAATTGTATTCCACACTTTCCTAAGTTACTAGGCACTCTCATCATGCTTTATCCATTTTTTAAAGTATAATGTTCACTTTTCTTATTGAGTACAGGAAGTTCTGGGAGAGCAATGGTTAAGAGCTTGGCTGCTAACCAAAAGGTCTGTGGTTCAAACCCACCAGGTAGAAAAGACCTCTCAATCTGTTTCTGTATAGGGCAATTTTAGTCTATCATACATGTCGCTACAAGTCACAAATCGACTCAGCAGCAAGCAACAACAGTAAATCAACAGAAATATCAGTTATAGCATGAAATGTGTGGGATGCAGAACCTTAGCAATGGCCTTGAAAGTGGCCTCAAAAGAGGAAAAAAAAAAAAGTTGACATTTTCCTCTTTTGGCATTGACCTCTAGTTAACTCTCATCAGCAATTTACATTCTTCCTCCTCCACTCTCCCCATCCTTTTACCCTAGAATTACCCAATGCAGAGCTGTTGGACTGATGACACTTTCACAGAGACATTATAAACGGTTATCATGTCTCCAGATTGTAACAACCTACCAGCCTCTCCTCTCAGTAACTCCTACTAGATGACCTCATCATTGTTTCTCATCTCACACAGTCCCTGGGTGAGACTTTGGAGACAGGCTGCTTGGATTCAAATTATTTAACCTCCCTATTCTTCAGTTTCCTCATGTGTAAAATGAGAATAAACACGTACCCATCTCAAAGGATTGTTAAGAGGATTAAGTGAGTGAATACTTACAAAGCTCTTAGAGCATTGTATCACCACCACCAGAGGATGTTGAGTCGATTGTGACTCACCGCAAGCCCAGGTGTACTAGGCCAGAGCTGTTCTGCATTGGACCATGTTCTGCCAAGGCACCACTGCAGCATTGTTGTGGTTGTTAAGTACCGTGGAGTCGATTCCGACCCATAGCAACCCTGTATAGGGTTTCCAAGGAGCAGCTGGTGCAGCATTAGATATGTATTAAGTGAAGGCACTATGCAAATGAATTATCAACTTGAACACAGCTGCTCTCGTCTCATCTTCTCAGTCTCTTAAAACTGCTCCAATATTTCTCATTTTGGTAGATGTGTTATCGTTTGGGGAATGAAGGGACTGATTATTACAGACATCACTCACAGATCCCAGCATTCCTTCCCACTGGTCAGGTCTTCAATCAAAAGCTAGTGTGTGTGAGTGTGAGAAAGAGAGATAGATTAACTTGCTGCTCTGTTATCCATGCAACTATAAGCACAGGTGAAGACACGGGCTGTTAGTTTAGTCAATAACGGAAATCTAGAGATACGTGGGGCGCTGTGGGTTAATGCACCCCACTGCAAAGCCATCTGAACTGCAAGGTTGGCAGTTCAAGCTCACCAGCTGCTCCTTGGAGACGTTATATAGGGTTGCTATGGGTGGGAGCTGACTCAGTGGCACTTAACAACAACAAAAGAGACACGCGTGGCTATTTTTTAATACTGGCAGGGATACGAGGGAGAAGGAAATGGTAAATTCTATGGAATACGCCGTTATCTCAAAACTACCTGGGCTTTCCATCACTAAACATGCTTAAACAGAGAACTGTCGACCAGGTGTCAAGGATGCAGTAAGAAAGAATTATTAAAATTTTTAAATTTAAAGTCAGATAACTCAAAGATTCCTTCTACCTCTAAAATCTTAATAATTCAAGTATGAGTCAAAGATTTTACTACTTAATTTGTGAGTCATACATCGCCAACTCGCTCCTGCAGGCACATAATTCTTCACTCCTCACAGTGGTTGGCACACAATAACAGATCAGTGAGGAATTCTAGCCCTCAGGCTATGTATAAATCAAACCAGGGTAACAAAAACTTTTCTAAAACTAAGTATCCCTATCAGTGAGCTGATTCCTGACTCCTGTTATGATCAGCAATATACAATAAGGATACATCCCAAAGTGGGCTCGTTATAAGTATAGTCCTTAACGTCTCTCTTCCGAGGTGCCAGACAAAGGCAGAGCGAGGAGAGCTGGCAGGTTAAGAAGGCGCAGGGTGTCCCGGAGTGAATGGCAGAGCCCACACACCGGCAGGGGAGAGGGAGTTTGGACAAAGGCCTCGGGCAAAGCACGCCAGACTCGGAGGCTGCTGGAAGCGACCGGCCGTCTGGGTATGGACAGAGATGCAAAAGTTTGACCGCGTTCTGTTAGTTAGTGGCACTCAGGGGCGCCTCCGGGGCGTCTCAATCTCAGGGTGGTCGGCACTGCTGCCTGCCCCGAGCGCAGGGGGCTTCGCTCAGCCGGGGGCCGCCCAGAGTCGCAGTCCCGACGTGAGTTCTGGGGCGCAGAGCCGACAACGCACCTGCTGGACGAGAACCCGAGTGTGAGCCAAGCTCCGCTGGGCCGGCCCAGCCGCAGCCTCTCCTCCGCCCAGCGCAGGCCCGTCGGCGACACCCACGCTGCAGCCCTCCCGGCCGGCTCGGGCCGGCGCCATCGCCATCGCCATCGCCATCGCGGGCCACGGCGGCGAGTAGGGAGAGCTCGGCGCCACTTTACCTGAGAAACCAGGGGGAGCAGCGTCTGCTCCACTGAGCGAGTTTTGATCTCGAGTCCCGAGTCGAAAGCGAAGCCCGATAGACCCGAGCCATGGAATATTCCTGCGCCGCTAACGCTGGCAGAGCCGGGAGAGGCAGCCATGGCCTTCCACCGGTGGTAACAGACTCCGCGCCGCCGCGGGACCGCTGCCTGCCCGCCTGCCTGCCAGCCAGCCCGCCCGCTAGCCCGCGGCGGCTGCAGTGAACCCGCGCCGCCGCCGAGGCCCCGCCCCCCACGGGCCCGCCCCCACCCGCGCGCCCGCGCTGCCACTCGGCCCCGCCCATCCTCCGCCCCCGACCCCGCCTTCATGTCCGCGGTGCTCTGGTGTAGGTCCACTTTCCGTAACCCCACCCCTAACCCTCTCCACTTGACTCCACTGCTGGCCCTGCCTCCGCCTCTCCTGAGGCCTGTCTTGGGTGGGTTCCTTGCTGCTCTGGATCTGCTAGTGTAAAGAACTATGATGAGAAAAAATTATAGCCACTTAAAACCCAATAAAACACAATTTTACTCATGCATGGGGTCACCGAGAATCATAATCGACAGGAGGGTAATTGGTGGAACTTGTAGTTCACCCTCCACTTTAAGATCATTTCTTCATTCATAATGTAGGTGATACACCAAATCTAGGTATCCAAAAGGTGTTTCCCAAGCACTGCTGAAATACGCTTCTGACAATACGTATTCCTTGTTGGTTCTTCAAGTTTGTTTACTGGTACTATACACGGTTTGAAAATCTTACATAGAAGGGAGCCATAACTTAGGGGCTCTCAGCCTTTAAGTATCTACTCTCGAGGCATACTTTCCCTTACATAAGTTGATAAAAAAACAACAACAACAAAAAAAACCTTAAGTGTAGCCAATGGAAAACGCAAGACATTAGACGTAAGAAACGGATGGAAATATTTATGAAAGTTTACACTTTACAGAAATGAGACCAGTTTATCATCACCTGATTCATTCAACAACTTTATTTCAAAATATAAATATTTTATATTTACAAAGAAGTTACATCAGTAGGTTGTCAAAACAGGTTATTTAAAGCTAAGAAACAGCATTTATGTGAGAAGAAAGAATATTTACTGTTGTATTTACTTTTAAAACGACTTTGCCTGAGAATGCTGAGTTGACACATTTCCAAAAGGTTACATTAGCAATTACAAGTAGATATATCCATTCTTGATTTCAAAATTAAACAGTATTTCCAAGAACACTCTAGTCTCCTAAACAAATGGCACTGCAAAGGACAAAAAAAGGGGTTTCTTTGGATTTGCTATAATAGTTACAATAAGTCAAAATGATGTTACTTTAAGATTTACTTCCACACCTATCATTGTACAATATAATATTAGAGAAAAATGAAAGAAATCAGGTGTGGAGGAAAGAACTCTGGACTTGGAGTCAGAAGTCTTGTAACTGAATTCTGGCTCCATCATTTATTTTATGGTATAAACTTCAGGGAAATCACAGCACTGAGAGCTGCCAGTGCTGATCTGTTACAATAGTTAACACCTGCTCAGGGTGGCAATGATGGGTCTGAAAACTGTAACGTGTCATACAAAAGCCTTATTAAAAAGCAATACCAATATATCACCACGGTATCTTCACAATGATTCTTTAAAAACTTGCCAAACTAAACATAAATACTGATTTTACACACCATAGGTGGAAAAGAATCTCTATACTTGAAGTATAGCTATGAACTGAAAATATATTTTCTCTTTCGTATATCCCACTAAACTCTAAGACTGATTAAAATCTACAAGGTACCACAATAACAGATTTATGATTCAGTATTTCCATTAGGGTCAGTAGTTCTTTGAAAATCTCTGAGTAAAGTAGTGGGGGGAGGGCACACTAATGTCAATAAGTTTAGTAAGCACAGGCTTTAAACCCTTTTACAGATCCATAATATAGTATGTTAAAAATCCTTGGAAGTCCTAGAGAAAGGAAACAAATTCAGCATTCCTCAATTTTAATTAACCATGAAGTCCCCAGTCCCCCCCACATTTTTGTTCTCTTACAACATCTTAGAACTACTGCTAAAGTGAACACATCCTAGCAAAAATATTGCTAGACTACAGGGAAAAGAGGCAGAACAAGAACTAAGGGAATACACAAAACTCGATTCTACTCAGAATTGTGTTACTAACCGGCTGTATATTGGACAAATCACACTAACCTGTGAATGTACTACCTTCTCTAGAAAAAGACAGGATCACCTAATTATGTAAAATCCACTACAGCTCAGAATTTCTGTCTCCATGAGGCAGATAGATTATCTTTATTTTTAAATGATCCAAAAACTACTATTTAGTTTCACATAGTCTTATGTATTTCTTGCAAGTCTTTAATATTAATGAAAATAAATACATGTGATGACAAATTATATAAAGACAAGGAATTATACAAACAAAAAGCACTTTTTCTTAAGCTAGAACTAGCATTTCAAAGTATGTTGCCAGAAACTATTTCCACTGTGAAATGTGCCCACCAAGTCCCTCTATAATACTAGTAAAAGAGCCAAGGGAGATTTTTAGGCCAAAAGTATGTGAAGTCCTGAAGGGGTTCTTCTTGTACATCCTGAGGTTGAATTTTCTGAGTAGTTCTTCCCCAGTACTGACCATCCCTAAAGCACTAATACAACATGTGGGAGCTTGAGGTACTAGAAAGTCCTGATGGGTTACAATGAGATCATATTAAGATCAAGGCTAGCCAGGAGACCTGCAAGTCCTTTAGCAACTTTAGCAGCTCGAACTTTAACTGGTTTACACAACTGCTATTTCCAAAGGCTTCATACAGAGTGACTGTGTACACGAAACTAATCTTTAATAAACTATAAAATGGCAAGATATTGTGATGGGATTTAAACTATAAAAGCCAAGATACTTGGCTTTTATTCAAGCATTTTCTACTTCATCAACGAATGGTTTGTTCCTAGGGATACTTTCTTTTTCTCTCTCTGGGATGAATCCTGGCTGGGAGTCTGAGGACAGGTTATCTTTGATACCTGTCCTGGAGATTCATACCACTTGGTCTATATGCCTTATTAAATTATGCCAACTCTTCTCACTATATTTGAACATCTTTAAACAGGGCAGAGGAGGCATGCGAGGATACTCCTCTCTGTTTATGAGGGTCCCTGGTGGCACAGTAACTAATGTATTCGATGGCTAACAAAAAGGTCGGTGGTTTGAGTCCGTCAGCAGCTCTGAGGAACCTGCTTCTGTAAAGATGACAGCCTTGGGAACCCACTAGGGTAGTTCTGCTCTGTCCTGTAGAGGCACTATGAGTTGGAATCAATTTGACAGCAGTGTGTTTGAGTTTTTTGGTTTGGTCAGACTTCTCCTAACTAGTTACTGGAATACTGGGGCAGTTCAAGTTTCCTGACCGGGATTGTGTAGCATTGTGGGAAACCTCTGCTCCTGATATTATGGGTAATATTGTATCATTGCTGTTAATTTTCACAACACTCAACTATTCTCCTAGGGCTCAGAGTTCCACTCCAAAAACTTGGTATTCAAAATAATACTTATGCCCAGCAACAGCCATATGTTGGTTTATGTTTAGTTATTTGTACTATCACTTTATATTTCTAAATGCACTTTGGAGAAGCATACTTTGTATACAGACCAATTCATTTTGCATAATACGTACCCCTTAGTAGTATGGGCTCATTGTTGCCATAAATTTGTCAATACACAAGGAAGAAAAAAACAAACAACTTAAAATGTTAATGCAAAAATTTTACATTTAGCATTACACATGATCTGGCTATGATTTAAGGTGAAAGATGGTCTTCTAATGAGTCATCTCCCTCTAGTAGCCTAGGGTAGAGCCTAGAGCTTAGCAAACTCTCAACAAATTTATGAATGAATAAATGAATGAGCAACTGACTAAATATCTGAATGAGTTATTTAGTGGCCAAAGCTAGCAAATGGTAGACTATCAGGTTATAATTACTGAAGAATTCATTAAAAAAATTAATGAGTTCATGTAGTATATTGCATGATCAAAGAACTCAAGGTAACTTTTTCCAGAGGTCTTTTTCTTAAGTATTATCTGGATACATTTAAGTGAATTATTATTAACTATAATTCTTAGTGAGAAGATGTTTGTTTTCAGAAAAAAGAAACCTTCAATATTTATGAACCCCCTTCTCTTCCAAATTCCCTTAGGGGAGAGGAAGAGTCTGATCATTGTTTCATATAGCAGATTGGGCACAAAGCTAAAAGCTGGGTTCTAGTTCCAGGCCTGATATTAGCTGTAGGACAAGTCTTAAATTCATTCATAACAAATGGATAGTAACACCTATTTTATCTCATCACATTGGGAAACACTTGGCAAGATGTCATAAGGAAGGATGCAGACTCTACCAGAGCTTGCAAGGTATAAAATGAGAAAGACTAGACATCAAGTCTTACTAGCTTATGATGTTAAATTACTCACTTTTTAAACCTTAACTTTCCCATTTATGTGAAACTGCTATAAAATAATGTGAAACTATGCGAAAGTTGATGTGAAAGGGTTTTGAAACAACATTTGCAAAAGAAACTGGTACTGTAAAGGACTGTGATGATTATTATAACATCTAGGATATTTGAAAAGCTCTTTAATTCACCTACCATTTATATAATGTGCAAGGCACTATGCTAAATGATGATGAAGAAAAAATACAACATAAATACAAAATTCTACTGCTAATAAGGAATGAATTGACAGAATTACAAATAATGCTATTCCTTAAATTTTTCACTTAAAAACAAAACCAAAATATTAGGGGCGAAAAAATGTAATCATAGCATAGATTCTATCATATTGCTGTTTAATAGCAGCTTAATGAGCACTTCAGTGTGGTCAGCCAAGTTTTAGGAACTGAACAATACGGTAATGGAGGCTAGACAGGGGCGAGAAAGGAAGAAGAGCTTCCTCCGTTGTCTCCTATGGTTGCAACATCCGACTGAACCACAAATAAGTCACACTAATCCCTACATCGAAGATTTGTTCTTTCTTAAATAGGGAAAGATACAGGGCGCTAGAAGGATAGAAACCTCACTTTTTCACCTCATGCAGCTATATACTGAAGCGAGAAAATACTCTTCATT